TCAACTGCGAGCCCACAGGGCGAGAACACGGGTTTTGCTAGGTGAAGAAACAGTGTCACCTCCGTAGGCAGGGGTGACTTAGCAGGTCAAGAGTTTTAAACAAGACACTAATTTCCTATGTCGAGAAGACAGCTACAGTCAATAAAGAAAGCGTGGGGTTAGTGGAGGTGGCAGGAAAGCAGCCCTTGTTTCACTCTCACTGACAGACTCCAGTAGTGACGGTATTTGTCCTTTTTTAGAAGATTGGTGTGACTGCAGATTTTATCTAGTATCACTGAAGTGAAGTCAAGCTCCCATCTTTGCTTCACAAAGATAAAGCAATTCAGGGGTGTTGAACAGACACTTACTGTTGAAAGCTCCCGCAGCACGAAGGCCAAGGTCAAGGAGCTGCGAAGGTAGGAACTGTGAAGAGTGGGCAGGAGGCTCAGACCCCACCGAAGGCTCCTGGGATGTGAGACTGGCCTGGGGGCTCCCAAAGGCAGCCTGGCATTCCTGGGAAAATTCCATAGCTCTCGAAGAACCAGGACTTAGGAGGCTGTTCAGAAATGAGAATTCCTTCTCAAAATCATCTTCCAATGAATCTAGTGGTAAATCTTCTGCAACTGTTGAGTGAACATAAAAACAGAATGGCTTTTTTCTTTTTGAGGAAATGAGAGTAGGATGAAGGGCAAGTTGAGTTTCTTTTATTGCTCTCCTACTTTCTCAACATAATTTTTAATGAACAATTAAACTAATTAGAAGTTTATGTGAAAATAACTTCTAAATAGGTAGGCTACAGATCAAAATGACTATATTCGCTATGAAAATATTCAGCTATGATGACTTATTTGTGAAACAACTAAGCAACCACCTGTGTAAGAGAAATCACAGGAGGTGCAAGGAAAACAGAAAAAAACAGTAACAGGAGAATTTAATATGGCACCCTCAGTGAAAAATAGGCCAGGAGGACAAAAGTAAAGATATAAAAATGTAAACAGCAGTATCAACATGGCAGTTATTTTTAAATATATACAAACCTTAATGGAAAACATACCTTCTTCTCAAGCACACACTGAAAATTCACAGAAATTAATTATAACTAAGGCCACACACAAAAAAATTGGTTTCTTAAAATAGATATACTACAAAGAACATGCTCTGATTATAATGTAATAAAATAAAATAATTTCTTAAATAAAACCAAAAAACTAAAAGGCTCTTTCACCTGTAAATTTTTAATACCTTCTATTAAACAACTCTTGGTTGAAAGGGGAATAGAATTTCTGAAAAATAATTATAAAGTAGACCTTTCATATCATTATCTGTGGGATATTTAAATAACAATTAACAAGAAAAATCATGACCCTAAACACCTTTATCAGTAAAAATGAAAGACAGGGGCTTTAGCATGATAGAGTGGTGACATCTATGGACCCACAGATCAGTTTTTAAGTAACTGGTGAAAAGTATTTTAAAAACAACCATTTAAAATCTCTGGAAATTGTTCCAAGGACACACATCAAATGAAAAAACATTTACTCAAGAAAATCTAATAAAATTCAGAAAGAATGAGAGACTGGTATTTGAACTAAGAGCCACTCCCTTCCACCCCCTTCCTAATTCAGCAAGATGAAAATGCGCTCTAGCCCAGTGCCGCCAAGAACTCAGGGCTCCCTCTCCCACCAACTCTCAGTCAAGAGCTATCTTCCCAGGAGGGTCAGATGTCAGCGCTTCACATCCTGTCCCCAGTTACCTGTTGCTAAGGCTAAGTCCTGAGGAAGTGCCTGTTTCCCACCCCAACATCAAGACTCCAGTCATGGGATTTGGGAGTGGCATGTTGAAAATATGGGGCCCTGATCACTTGACCCTGCTCATAAAGTGGTAGTTTCATGCTGGAAGAGCCAAGCCAAGAAAACTCTCCTCTCTTAGCACTTAGCTACTAGAGCAAGGATATCAATCAGAGAGAAATTCGGTCTTTTTCACAACCCCAGATCAAGCCCTGACTCAGGGATTTTGCCTCAAAGGAGAGCAAATTATCAAAGAGATAGCTCCTATTTTTTTCTCCAAGGGAACTGACTTCATTTGCAATACAGTACGGAGAAATTCAGTCTAAGGATGCTCTCAGAAACAGTGCAGATTGAGGTGAAATGTAAGTGGGAAAAGACTAATAGGTTCATTGGACATGTGAACTAAACTACAGGCCAACTGGCTTGCCTGGAAGAATCAGGGAAAAGGCCAGGAGGGAAGAGCCTGCTGGAGGTAAGAACAAATCTTAAACACTGACTTTTGGAACTATCCTTTCAAAGGAGTCCAAATTTGATTGGTTTTGGCTCTAGAACAATTTATGGTCCAGGGCTTTCTTGAAAACAGTAGAGCAATCAGCTGGAAATTAGAGGGATTAAACAGCTGGATGTGGTCATGGAAAGAGACTCAGAGAGGCCTTACTAAACTTCACTGTCATCCCAGGTGACTGGGTATATGTAAGCCTGCCATCCATGAAGAGTTCCACTGTTGTCGGGGGTCAGGTAGGGTGGAGAATAGACTCTACTGAAACAATCCAACCTGACACTTAAAAAAAAAGAAAGCAGATAATAATAACAAGCCCCAGAAAGCGAGGACTAATAGCTCAAGTTACTAAAATATATTATCTAAAATATCCAGTCTCCAACAAAAAATAAGAGGGCATGCAAAAAAAACAGAAAAGTATGATCCATATGACAAGGAGAAGGAAGGCAACAGAAACTGCCCATGAGAATGACCAAATACGAAATGTAGTAGACAAAGCCTTCAAAGTAGCCCTTATAAATAAATTCAAAGAATGAAGAAAAGTATGATTAAGGGGAGTGAGACATTGTGCTATATACCAGAAATTGACACGTTGTAACTGACTACAGTTTAAAAAAAAGTAAAAAAATAAAATAAATAAATAAATATCAAATAAAGTAAAGGGAGTGAGGTGATAGATGTGTTAATTAACTAGGTGGGAAGAATCTTTTCACAATTACTCATATATTAGCACAATGTACAATTTAGATATCTTACAACTTTATCAATTATACCTCAAATAAGCTGAAAAATGTAAATGCAATCTTAGAAAAAGGAAAGGAAGGTGTGATGACAATGTTGCATCAAGTAGAAAGTATCCATAAAGAGTTAGAAATTACAAAAAGAGAACCAAATGAAAATTCTGAAATTGAAAAGTACAATACCTGAAATGAAAAATTCACTAGGGAGGATCAACAGTAGATCTGAACTAGCATAAGAAAGAATTAGCCAATTTCAAGAAAAACTGATAGAGATTACATAACCCAAAAAACAGAGAGAGAAAAAGAATGAAGAAAAATGAGAAAGGCCTCAGAGAAATGATGGGCCAACATCAAAAGTGCCAGTATACACATAACAGGAGTCTCAGAGGATGGGGGATGGGCTGGAATTAGAAGAAATAATAGACAAGATGTCCAACCTTGCTGAAAACATCAATCTATTCATTCAACAGGCTTTACAAAACCCAAGTAGAATCAATACAAGGAGATTCATATCTAGATACATCATAGACAAACTACTGAAAGCCAAAGAGAAAGAGAAAATTCCTACATTCATGGATTGGAAGGATCAGTATTATTCAGATGACAATTAACTCCAAATTGATGTGTGAATTCATTGATGCATGAATTCAACACAATACATATCAAAATTCCAGTAAGGTTTTTTTTGGGGGGGGGAGTGTAGAAATTCATAAGCTGACTGTAAAATTTATATGGAAGTACAGAGGGATTAGAACAGCCAAAATAACTTTGAAAAAGGAACAATGTTGTGGGGTAGTGGGAATTACACTACCTAATTCCCAAATTTACTATAAAGCCACAGTAATCAAGATAGTATGGTACTGGCCAAGGATAGGTATATAGGTCAGTGGAACAGAATTTAGAATTCAGAAACACATCCTTACATTTTTTGTCACTTGATATCAATAGAAATGCCAAGAAAAGTCAACGGAGAAAGGAGACTCTTTTCAACAAATGGTGCTGGAACAACTGGATATGCATATGCAACAAAACACAAAAACAAAATTTAGATACTTACATCATACTGTACACATTTAACTCAACATGATCGTAGTCCTACATGTAGGAGTTAAAATTATAAAACTTCAAGAAGAAAATAAAGGAGAAAATCTTCATGACCTTGGGTTAGGCAGAACTCTTAGATATGACACCAAAAGAACAATTCATAGAAGGAAAAAGAAAGACTGGACTTCATAAAATTTTTAAAATTTTGCATTTCAATTGGTGAAAATGAGATTAGGATTAGATTTGTCATATATTTGACAAAGGACTTGTATCAAAAATATATTTAAAAATCTTACAACTTAATAAATAACTGAACTTAAAAATAGGTAATATACTGTATAGCACAGGGAAATATATACAAAATCTTATGGTAGCTCACAGCGAAAATAAATGTGACAAGGAATATATATATGTTCATGTATAACTGAAAAATTGTGCTCTACACTGGAATTTGACACAACATTGTAAAATCACTATAACTCAATAAAAAAATGTAAAAAAAATTAGGTAATCTTAATAGATTTGTTAACAAGAAGATACGTGAATGGCCAATAGGTCTGTGAAAAGATGTTCAACATCTTAAGTCACTGGAGAAATGCAAATTAAAACCACAAACTAAAAGCATTAGAATGTATATGACTAAAAAGATAATACCAAATGTTGACAACGTGAGAAACTAGAACCCTCATACTATGCTAGTGTGAATAAAATGGTACAACCGTTTGAAAAATTTACGTTGGCAGTTCCTTACAAAGTTAAAGTCATATTTACCATATAACCTAGCAATTCCACTCCTAGGAATCTAACTAAGAAAAATGAAAACATATGTTCACACAAAGAGCAATACTTGAATGTTCATAGCAGCAATATTACAATAGTCAAAAACTGAAAACTACTCAAATAACTAACAACTGGTGAATGGATACACATAATGTGATATATCCAACATAATACTATTCATCAATAAAAAGTAACTGGAAAACAGTAAGCAAAATGTGGTATATACACATAATGGAATATTATTCAGCTTTAAAAAGGAAGAAATTCTGCAACATGCCATAACATGGATGAAACTTGAGGACATTATGCTAAGTCACAAAAGCCAGCTACAAAAAGACAAACACTATATGATTTCACTTATACAGTGTTTAGAGTAGTTGAAATCATGGAGACATCAAGTAGATGGGTGTCTGGGGCTAAGGAAAGGATGGAATGGGGAGTTATCATTTAATGAGTACAGTTTTAGTTTTACACAACAAAAAGAGTTATGGAGGTGGATGGCTGGATAGTTGCACAATATTATGATTGTATTTAATGTGACTGAACTCCATATTTAAAAGTGGTTAAGATGGTAAGTTTTATATTATATGTATTTTACTACAATAAAAAAATTAAGGGAAAAAAAGTAATGAACTTAGCTATAAACAATATGGATGAATCTAAAAAACATTGTTTAATGGAAGACACAAAAAATTAACTTTTATATAATATTTATATGAAATGTCCATGAGACAGTAATTTATAGAGACAGAAATGAGATTAGTGATTTCCTAGGGCTGGGAGTGGGGGAGTGGGAGCACAGATTAGTTGCAAATGAGCATGAGAGAATTTCAGAGGTAGTGGATATATTCTAATACTCAATTGTGGTGATGGTTGTACTACTCTATAAATTTAGTAAAAATCACTGAATTTTACCCTTACAGTGAGTGAATTTTATGACCCTAGGGAGCCTCTAAGCCCAGCTAACAATAATGCCCACCAGCACATTCCAGTTTGCAGCCCTGCCTGGCAGCAGAGCCAGCCTACGTTCATGCCCAATTGCTGGGCACAGCCTGCAGCCTCACCCAGGCAGGGAGCCCAGTCAGTGACCTCACCCAATTGTGGGGTACAATGTGAGTCCCCACCCAACCAGGAAGTCTGGCCACTGACCTTGCCCAAAAGCAGAGCACAACCACAGTCCTGCCCAATGATGAAACCTAGCCTGTGGCCCTGCCTGGTCACAAAGTACAGGCTAAAGCTGTATCAGATCATGAAGACCTGCTGCGACCCACCCAAGTGCAGAGGCCAGGCGGCAGCACCACCTGGCCAGGGAGCACAGCAAGTGACCCTGCCTGACCAGAGGTGATTGTGGAGCCCAGCTGGTAACACCCCATGACCTCAGAGCTCAGCGAGTGGCTTGCCCCCTTTGCCACCTGAGAGCATGGGCAGCAACTTTACCCAACCAGAGTCTGTTACACATTACAGTTAAATTGTCTGAAGTCAATGACAGAATTTTGAAAGCTGCAAGAAAAAAGTGACTTGTCACATTTGAAGGAAACCTTGTTAAGACCATAAGCAGATTTCTCAGTAGAAACTTTGCAGGCCAAGAGAGAGTGGGATGATATATTTAAAATACTGAAAGGAGTAAACTGTCAATGAAGCATGCTGCATCCGGCAAAGCTGTCCTTCAGAAATGAGGAACAGATAAATACTTTCTCAAACAAACAAAAGCTGAGAGAGTTCATTGCCACTAGACCTGTGTTACAAGAAATGCTCAGGGGCACTATACAAGCTAAAACAAAAGGATGCAAATTAACCTTGTAAAAAATGCATGAACGTGTACATCTTATCAGTAAAGGTAAATATATAGTCAAAGTCATATTCCATAATACTGTAATAGTGGTGTATAAATCACTTTAAACTCTAGTTTATAAGTTAAAAAGCAAACATATTAAAAATAACTAGAACTACAATAATTTGTTATTGGATACACAAGATAAAAAAAGATGTGAACTGTAACACCAATAACCTAAAATGTGAGATGATGAGAAGTAAAACTATAGAGTTTCTATATCCTATCAAGTTGTTATCACCTTAAAAAAAAACGATGTCACAAATAAGACATTTTATGTAAGCCTCATGATAATCACACACAAAAAAAGTAATAGATGCACAAAAAATTTAAAGGAATCAAAGCATACGACCACAAAAAGTCATCAAGTCAAAAGACAGCAAGAAAGGAATAAAGGAACAAGGGGATTACAAAACAGAAAACAATGAACAAAATGACATTAGTAAATCTTTACTTATAAATAATTAAATGTAAATGGATTAAATTCTCCAATCAAAAGACAGGAGTGGCTGAATGGGTAAAAAAACAAGATCCAGTGGTATACTGCCTAGAAGAGACTCCCTTTAGCTTTAAGGATACATACACAAAGACTGAAAGTGAAGGGATACAAAAATATATTCCATGAAAATGGTAACTAAAAGAAAGCATGGGTAGCTACATTTACACTGTAGCTATAATATATACACTATATATATTCACATACCAAAGAATGAAATTAGACCCTTATTTTATACTACTCACAAAAATTAACTCAAAATGGATTAAAATGTAATATCTGAAATTGTAAAACTCCTAGAATAAAAAAGAGAGAAAAAACTCCTGGACATTGGTCTTAGCAATGATTCTTTGGGATTTCACACCAAAAGCTCAAGAAACAAAAGTAAAAATAGGTAAGTGGGACTAAATCAAACTAAAAATCTTCTGCAAAGCAAAAAAAGAAAAATCAAGAAAATGAAAAGGCAACTACAGAATAGGTAAAATATTTACAAACCATGGATCTGATAAGGCTTCATATCTAAAATAGATAAAGAATTCATACAATTCAATATTAAAAAAAGAATAATCTCATCTTTAAAATGGGCAAAGTAGACATTTTTCCAAGCAAAGACATACAAATGACAAACAGGCACGTGAAAAGATGCTCAACAGTACTAATCGAATCAAATACAAATCAAAACCACCATGAGAGATCACTTCACATCTGTTCTAATGGCTATTATCAGAAAGACAGGAGATAATGCTGGTAGGATGTGGAGAAAAAGGAAATCTCGTGTACTGTTGGTGGGAAGGTACATTGGTACGTCCATTATGGAAAACAATACAGAGGTTCTTCAAAAAATTAAAAACAGAAGAACTATATGATCCAGCAATTCCACTTCTGGGTATATATACAAAGGAAATGAAATCACTGTCTTGAAGAGGTATCTGTACTCCCATGTTCATTGTTACATTATTTACAGTAAATAAGAGAGCATTATGTTAAGTGAAATAAGTCAGACAGACAAACATCGTATATCACTTTTACATGAGATCTAAAAAAAGCCAAACTCCTAGAAACAGAGACTAGAGTGGTGGTTGCTAGGGCCTGGGGGATGGGAGAAATGGGGAGACTGGTCAAAGGGTACAAACTTCCAGTTACAAGATGAGTAAGTCCTGGGGAGCTAATGTACAGCATGGTAACTATAGTAAACAATATTGTACTGTTTACTTAGCAGTTGCTAAGAGAGTAAAACTTAAATGTTCTTATCCCCAAAATAAATATGGTAACTATGTGAGGTGACAGACATGTTAAGTAATCTTACTATGAAAATCATTTTGGAAAATATATGTGTATCAAGTCATCATGTTGTACACCTTAAACTTTACAGTGTTACATGTCAATTACAACTCAGTAAAGCTGGGTAAAAAAAAGTGAACTCAGAAGTGTGTGTACAGAAGAGACATAAAAAGTGACAAAATTTTAAAAATTAAATGGATATTAACACAATCTCCTTTAAAAGGCTGTGACAAACTGTTTTGACATTTATATGTGATCATTTCATATTTTAATAAATTTACCATCTTACCTGGTTCACTTCCCAAGCTCATTTCCTCATCTGACAAAACTAACCTAAAGGAAAAACAAAACAAAACAAAAATGTAGATTTTGGTTAAAATACATTTGGGACTCATATTCTACAAATAGTTTTATACGGTTTAAAGAATTTCTTTTTAACTGAGGAGACATACAAAATAGCTGTCCAGTTGATCTCCTAAAATCTGAGACAAATCTTACTCCTTCTCTAGATCTACAGACTGTGAAAATAATCCTTCACTCCTTATTCTTTCAATATACATTTACTTAGTATTGATGAAGCAGGAGACACCGTGCTCAGCACTGTGCTAAATACTATACCACAGAGAACATCTGTCACCAAAGTACAAAGTTTAGTTTTCAAGCATTGAAACATTTTGCTCAAGAATATTTGGGAACTGGAGAGAATGAAGAACTGTAGAAAAAAATGGAGTACTCTACTTGGAACAAGAAAGTGATGATGACAAAAGAAGACACATTTGCCTAAAACATTCTCAATCAATATGAATTCTGGAAATTTGTATCATCCATCTAGTATAATAATAATAAATGAAGATAAAGAAATTGAACCAGACTTAATCATTACTCCTCATGTATAACCTCACAACTCTAGTAGTTGAGAGTTCTTTAAATTAAGTCTTTACAGACACTTAAAAAGCAACACAGTATTTATATGCAAATACCGCAAAAATAAACCTAGAAACAAAGCAAATAGATACTTCGACTTGGAATGAAATTCCCAGTAACAGTATATATATATGGTGTTTTAAACAACTTGGAAAAGAAGTGCTTTGGAATCTGCTAGTTAACTCAAAACGTAGCTTTCATAATGCTGAGGATCCATGAGAATATTCTGAAGAAAACGTTTAGAAAATGTAATAATGAAAATATTTACTAAATTAATATATTTAATGTAACATGATTTTAAATGCCAGTGTATAACTAAGTTAATACATTTAATTTATAACTATATATCTGATTACTTAATCTATATCCTAAAACATTTATATATCTCAGTTAGTAAAAAAAAATTTGTTTGGATTTCCCTGATATAGAAACGCATCAGATGCTTATAGTTCAGATCACCTTCTACTCAACAATATAAATATATGGTTGTCACTGTTTGGGCTTATTTCCGGGTTCATATTATACTCTGTACAATCTGGTTAAATGAAAAGTAAGTGGCAGCTCTGAAAGGAAAACAAGGGTAAGATGTGGTAAAAGGGCAACAGGCAACATGAAGGATGTGCATAGGAAGAGTCCCCATTTTCAGGTAACCAGTCCCAGTCCCATCTGTGTTGCTTTGGAGATAGATTTTCAATAGCTTCTGTCTCACAGCTGCTGACCCTGTCCCTTTCTTTTCAAGCTGCCCCTTCTGGGATTCACTAGGCTCTTATTACAGGGCTTAGACTCCCTAACTATAGAATTTGGAGTTATCACCCCAAACTGTTCTGTACTCCTATCATCTACTTTGTCTACCATGTTAAAAATGGGGTGGCAGGGAAGGTTTCAAAGCAAATTAATGTTAATTGGAAAAATGACATAGAAATAAGTATTCAGTAAGTCAGAGAAGAAATAACTCTTTCCAAATAGATCATATAAAGACTTCCATAACACGATATATAACTTTTGCATGCTTACTTATTGAGGTTTTCAGTGAGACAATCATTTTCTATTTGTTCTTCTTTATGGTGCTCAGTAAGCTTGCTTGGAGAATCTTGTAGTTGCTAAGGATAAGAAATTCAATGTTAAGTAGATGGAAAGACTCTGTTTCTCTCTTTGTGCAAACAAATGAGAATAAAAATTCTAAAGAACAATATAAAGTGGGGAGGGTATAGCTTAGTGGTAGAGTGCATGCTTAGCATGCACAAGGTCCTGGGTTCAATCCCCAGTAACTCCTCCAAAAATAAACAAATAAATAAACCTAGTTACCTCCTCTCCCCCCAAAAAAAGCTAAAAAAAAAAAAAACACCCACACACAATATGAAATAGGAATAGTTCTGAAATAAAGAGTGAGAAATAAGGGAACTAAATGTTAATGTCATTTTTAATTGACGTATAGTTGATTTGCAATGTTGTGTTAATTTCTGGTATACAGCATAGTGATGCAGTTGTATATATATTCTTTTCATATTCTTTTTCTTTATAGGCTATTACAAGGTATTGAATATAGTTCCCTGTGCTATATAGTAGGACCTTATTGTTTATCTATTTTATATATAGTAGTTAGTACATGCAAATCTCAAACTCCCAATTTATTCCTCCCTACCCTCTTTGCCCCTGGTTTCTTTTCTATATCTGTAAGTCTGTTTCTGTTCTATAAATAAGTTCATTTATATCATTTTTTTAGATTCCACATAAAAGTGATATCATATGGTATCTTCCTTTGTCTTTCTGGCTTAGTTCACTCAGTATGATAATCGCCAGGTCTATTCATGGTATTATTTTATTCTTTTTTATGGCTGAGTAGTATTCCATTGTGTATATATCACAACATCTTTATTCAATCATCTGTCGATGGACATTTAGGTTGATTTCATATCTTTGTAATTGTAAATAGTGCTTCTATGAACATTGGGGTGAATGTATCTTTTTGAATTAGACTTTCCTCCAGATATATGCCGAGGAGTGGGATTGCTGGATCACATGGTAAGTTGTTTTTTAGTTTTTTAAGGATCCTCTATATTGTTTTCCATAATGGCTGCACCAAACTACATTCCCACCAGCAGCATAGGGGGGTTTCCTTTTCTGCACACCCCCTCCAGCATTTATCATTCATGGACTTTTGAATGGTGGCCATTCTGACTGGTGTGATGTGCTACCTCACTGTAGTTTTGATTTGCATTTCTCTGATAATTAGTGATAGTTAACATTTTTTCATTTGCCTATTGGCCATTTGTATGTCTTCACTACAGAGCTGTTTGTTTAGGTCTTCTGCCCATTTTTTCATTGAGTTGTTTGTTTTTTTGTTATTGAGTTAAATGAGCTGTTTGTATATTCTGGAAATTAAGCCCTTGTCAGTGGCATTGTTTGCAAATATTTTCTCCCGTTCTGTAGGTTGTCTTTTTGTTTTGTTTATAGTTTCCTTTGCTGTACAAAAGCTTGTAAGTTTATGCAAATATAATTTGACCTGAGCCCCATGTCCTTTGCATTCTGGCTGCCTGTGGCAATCACACACACTGTGGGCTAGTCACAGGATTTACCACTTTGTGATATGCCAAGAAGACTTATGTGTTGTTAGCCTGTATTGTAATTCTCTAAATACAGCTAAAGATCTTTAACTTCAAGACTGAACAGAAATTGGATTTTAAATTTGCCTGAGTACAATACCCAGTGAAGCATTCATATAGGAAATTAAAAAAAAAGACACATGAACAGTAAAAAACAAAAAAACTAACTCAAGGGTCTCTATTAGACTGGAAGATGATAGAGCATGACTTAAAAATCCATACCAAGTCCCAGCAATGTACAGTTGCAAGATACAAACCAATCACAGATATCACAGCTAGCTTGAGTTAAACCAAACATTTTCAAGCACTACTGAAAATAAGGCAGAATGATTAAGTTCAAAGGTACTGAAACCTAGCCTACCAGAACTGAAGAAATGATTAACACAGTGCAACTCTGCTGGATGAGCCATTTACAAAGAAGGTTGACCGGAAGAGTACATTTTACACATAGATGTTATAGAAAGAGGTGATCTAATATAGGAGTCTCTTCAGCGGCAATCAGACATATATAATGACCAAAGCTGGCATAGTTTTTGCATCATGAGTTGCATCCATGACATGAGTGTAAAAGTAAAGCAAGGAGATTTTTCTTTAACTTCTTAAATTGTCAAGTAGGTAATTTGGTCATTTTTGAAAACACAGGGCCACTTTCCATCACTTGTTCCTCTAAAGTTTTTCCTTTCCATAACCTTGTTTCTTCTTTGTATTTTAATTTTCTTTTACTTTCCACCTCTTTTATTCCCCCACACCTTACTAATATCTTAAGCCCACCAGCAGTATTCCCATGTATTTCTGCAGAGTTGCTCGTAGGAATCAGGAATCAGGAAAGTGCAGAAAACGACTGGCTAAGAAGTGTAGAAAACTGTCTCCCAGTGTTTCATAAAGTTGAAATTAGGCTTAGCAAAAAGTAGTTTCAAAGTTACTATCCAAAGAAAGTGTAATGTATCTAACAAAAGAACAGCGAAAGAAACGTACCTTGAGAGCTACAAAATCAAATGGATGAAAGCCAGCGTAAGTTCCATGGATTTGGGACATCATCTGAGCTGCTTTCTCCCAGAATCCAAGTAGTGTTCTCTGCAGAAAAAAATAAATAAATAAAAGGTGACACCACAGTTCTGCTTCCTCTCCATGATTTTTTTGTCAGTGCTATTTTTTCTCACTAGTATGGTAGATGAATAGCTGTCAAATAATGAGAAGCAGAAATTAAAATCAATTTCCAAGGCTGGGGAATCTGAAAGCACTGTAACTATTAAGTCTGCAAAGGAATTGGCATCGTATCTGCAGGTATGTGTGCCTATCTGTATCCAGCACTGAAATGTACACAGGAGCCAGCTAGAGGGTACTTGCAGCCAAGAGAAAAAAACTGGAGGATTAGAACACCCTCTGAGGAATCCAAAAGAAAAATGATAAAAGCACCAAAACATCGTAATTGCATTAGAGGTATATGTGTAAACTTCTATGCCGGTAAGCATATATAAGCCTTTATTAATTGGAGAAAAATAGTATGTACCACAAAGTTTGGACTTCCATTTAGGATTCAAGAAAGACTTGTCCAAAAAATGTGTTATTCAAGCTAACAGAAGTAACTGGACATCTTTCTTGTTGCTTCAAGGTTCCTGTTCAAAGTGAGGGGGAGGAGTGGAGAGAATAAAGGAGAGCTAACTAACAGGTACTGTGTTTCAGGCATTATGCCCATAGGTGGGCATGCACTTTTATTTTCAGGTGTAGCCTTTCTTGATTCTTGAAATCCACAGTAGTGAACTGAATTAGGCAGATACCCGAAAAGCAGCAGTGAATGTCCATTTCCTTTGGTTTATTATTCTTTTCTTATGTAAAAACAGTTTATTCTATTTTGCCATTTATAAATACATAGTAAAATCAGTATGTAAAAACAGTTTATTCTATTTTGCCATTTATAAATACACAGCAAAATCAGTAACTGTTACTTATTAACATCTAACTTCCTCATTGTGTGCTATTTATGTGTGGTTTGGAGTGAAATAAGCGCAAGTGAGACTTCTGAGATTAAAGCGGTGTGGAATGGCAATTTGGCAGAATGAAAAGAACACAATCCTAGAATTAGAAAACTTAAGTTTTTAAGCCTGATACTTCATTTGTTTTAAGTCTCATTTAACTCTCACTTTCCTCATCCATAAAATGATAGAAAAGTGTTAAATTTGGGGGCCACAGCCTCTTTATTTCAAATGAAATCATATGTAGGACTAGTTCAAAATGGAGTAGCTCTGGGTGAACCAAGGTTAATGGGCCTTGAATCCTGCCTCCTCTCAACATTCCCCTCCTCTACCCTAGACAGTCCCTAAGTCAGTCTCTTTCTCTCTGTCTCTGTCTCTCTCTCCTAGTACACCAAGGAGAATGACGTGAAGCCATGGGAGCAGGCATCACTAAGGTCTTATTCAGACTAGTATTCCATGATTCTGACTATCATAACCTCCGTAAGTCAGTTTTAGGACAGTCAACAATTTTTATACCCTTTAGACAACTTTTAAAAAGGAATCTCACCACTAATCTTTACTTCAAGGACATGCTGACCATGGAGGTGGGTACCTGGTAGGTAGTGAGTGAATGAGATAACATATTGCAGCGACTAGCTCCAAGTAAATCCACTTTCTGACAAACATCCATCTTTAACTTGTCAAAAGAAGCTTTGCTATTTCTCACTTGGATCTGTACCTGCAACCACAAAAATATTAATTATAATTACTGATAATACGGATATACAGGATCATGAAACACATTTTCAGACACATGAAATTATTATAAAAAAGACTAATTTCTTTCCCTATATTATTATTTAATGATTAGTGGTAAAGGTTTTGACTATTTTTAGTAATTGTAGGACATCTTTCCAGCAGATATCTTTATGCTGAGAAACTATATGATGATAGATGGACAGAATACAGTTAAGAACTAAAAAAACAGATTCCAAATAAAAAGAAACACCCAAAACTACTGATAGGTACTATTTAGCTAGAAAGAGTAAAAGAATAAATGGAAAGGGACACAGTTAGTGTTGGGAAGCATTAATAATGGTTCTGAATCAGATAAGTTTATAAATTTAAATGCAGGCTTATTATATTTCTTATACATAAGGTGAGTCATACATCACCACATAGTGTGAATATCCAACTTTGTACTCATTCATTCATTCAACAAATATTTATAAGGTATCTATTATGTGTCAGGCACTGTTCCAGGCACTGGGATACTGTGGTAAACAAAACAAAGCTCTTCCCCACCATCCCTAAGTGAGGAGGGACAGGAAAATAAGAAGTAAATAAATACATAAGATAATCTCAAGTTGCAAAGATAACATATAAATGCAACAGAAATAGGTGACTACTTTAGGTAAGATGGCCAGGGAAGTCCTTGGTGAGCTCATGCATGATGTCTGAATCGGGACATCGTCCAGTGCATGCATGATGAGTGGGCCATGCTAAGACCCTGAGGAGAGCTGTTCAGGCCCATGGAAAAACAAGGACAAAAGTCCTGGGTGTGGGAGGTGGGTGAAGAGCTTATCATGTTTGCAGAACAGGAAGGAATATGTTCTAGAAAGGACCGAAGCATAGAAAATAAGTACAACATATGGCATCAGAGGGACCAGGGATCAGACTGTGCAGGGCTATTTGGGTCCAGATAAGAGGTTTGGATTGTATTCTTTTTTTTTAATTGAGGTGAAATCCCCATAACATACACTTAACCACTTAAAAATGTACCATTCAGTGACTCTAATGTGTTCACAATGTTGTGCACCACTCACTTGGATTGTACTCTAATTGTCAAAGATTATAAAGGGGATAGGATAACAGGTTACTGTGGCCTGAGGCCACGTGTCCACCTACTTTCCCAGGTCTGCTGGAGTTATCAATGAGGCAGAGTACTCAAAGCAGCTAGTATAAAGACTCCATCAATATTAAATATGATTTTTACTGTAGGTACTTTAAATATTTATAAAATGAAGGAGTAAATGAATTTTATTATTCATGCAGGGTAGATTTGGGGACACAATTTATAATGAGTTTATTTAGCAAAAACGTATATTTATACACATATAGTTGCTTTAAAAGTTTGTGGTTAAACTACATATTGTGACAGAATGAAAAATTTGACAACCTTCACTTATAATTAATAATCATTTAGTGGGGAGGGTACATAGCTCAGTGGTAGAGTACATTCTTAGTGTGCATGAGGTCCTGGGTTCAATCCCCAGTGCCTCCATTACAAATAAATATAGGAAAACCTAATTACCTCCCCGACAAAAAAATGAAAAAATTAAAAATCATTTAACATGAATTTTTACATAAGTTATATGTTTTTCCTGACTAATAAACTATTTTCCTCCTGTAAACAACTCCTAAAAGTCCAGATGAACAACATTTAAAAGGTAGTTAGGTCTATTATGAGAGGTATAAAAATAATAGAAAAGGATGATGGGGTGGAGATGTCACTCAAAGGGTAAAAAAAAATAGCGTGATGACCTTTTGTACTTCAATTGAGGATTTCCAAGCAACCAAGAATTTACAATGCAACGTAGTTCCCCAAAATAGTTTGATGTTCTATGTGCTTGATTAAATTATTCTGTAGAGGTTCAAAAGCTTTATGTATCAAAAAACCAACAAGGGTGTATTTTCATACTTTTCTGAATTTTTCCATTTGTTTTAAGGTGTCTGGGTCCAGTTCTTGGGATACATCTTTCATCCACAGCAGAGCTCCTCTGTATTCTGTGCGCGCCTGTTCCATCCGATTAATTGTCATCAAAGTATCAGATACAGCCCTTTGGCTGAATGTTGCTACTTCTTGCTTAAGACGAACCAAGGGAGTATATAGGGCCAATCTAAATGGCAGAGAGGTAAAAATCAGAGAGATGTAAATCCCACGAGCAAAATAAAACAAAAACAAAGGTTTAAAACAACTGTAAAGCATAATTTGTTACCAAGATGAGTCTATAAACAGGACATTATTAAGATGTCCAAGAAGTTTTAGAAAGCAAATAAGAATCTTACAGCTAACTTTGAACTGTTAATAAAAATGTGTCTATATCTCCCCCTTTTCTCATTTTAGGTAATATGTATTATTTCTGCAACATTTTGGATATTTACCCATGTATAAATAATCTACAAAATAAATTTGCCATTTAGAAAAAAATTCCATGAGTAAAAAGAGATCCTGTATTCATAAAGCACAATCCTTTAAGCAGAAAGCCTTTCTTTTGACAAATTTAGGGAAAACCTGGGTATGGAAAAGCAGATAAATGCTAGAAAAACTAGTGAGTATAAAGTTCTTAGCAGCTGAGGATGAGAACAAGAAAAAAAAGAATTTAAAAAACCTAAGTCAAACCCAGCCCTTCTGTTCTGCTTTTGACTTGGTAGGCCTTGTATTGAGTGTCTCTTTGTCACCTCCTTAAAGATAGATCTTTGCACTGATGCAGTACTTCAGAAAAAAGTCACTTAAGTTATACATTGTCATTAAAAGTCTGATAAGGCCTGTTTTTATTTTTCTCCTGAAAATGCAACGATTTTGTATTGTACCTATTGTATTTAATAATTGTAAATTACTTGTATAATATAACACACAATTATGTAATATATAATATAATAATTATATAATATTTAATTGTATTAAGACCTATTGTATTTAATAATTATAGGAGATTCTTTGCAGCAGGTATTTTTAATGCTAAAAAGTTATAAAATAATAAATGCAAAGTATATAACTAAGAAGAAAAAATTTCCTCCACTTAAAAAGAGGAAAAGTTCCAAAGTACTCAGAGATTGTATAGTATCCAAAAAATTAAAAACCTATATATATACATACACATATTCTAGCCACTCTCTTTCTCTGTTATATTAAACCACTTAAGAAATTTAAACACAGGCCTAAAGGCTATTTCTAGGAGTTAGGTAACCTGAGAATGTAAATCTTTAAATAATTATTTTAAATACAAAATAAGTAAGAGTCAAGCATCAAAACAATTATATACTGCAATGTATTTCTCTTTTAACTGGAATGATCAGAAATATGTAAATTTAGCTACATACATCAAAACTGTCATACTGACTATAAATTTAAAGATGATGCAAAAGCATGGTAAACCTTTGCTTGGCTGAAGAACAGAGTGCCCTGCCAGTGGCATCCATCATTTTGCCAGCCTGCGTTGTGTCCCGTTCTGCTTGGAACTTTAAAAAGAGCCCTAGTTCGTTTTCTTCCTCTGATATAACTAGGGAAAAAAATTACAATACAGTTCATTGTTCCATTTTATCATTTGTTTAAAACACACACATACAACTAAAATTCTCATAGCAATAATTCTCTAAACATAAGAATCACTTGAGGGAAGAAGAAGAGAGACTTATTTTTAAAATGCAAGTTCCTGGGCTCCAGAGATTCTGATTTTACAGAACTGAGGTTATGGTTTTCTTTTCTTTCTTTCTTTTTTTTCTTCTTCTCCTTCTGTTTTTTTTTTTTTCAAGCACTTCAGATGGTTTTGATGCAGTGAATCCATGGATTTCACTTTGGGAAAGACTGATCTTTAGTGAAAAAAATCCAAAATGATAAAACAAAAGCACAGATGATGAATTTTCAAAAGTACAAAGACGCATTTTAGGATCATTGCCGCTTACAAAGTACTCAGTTTTCTATTTCAACTTACTCTCGTCTCCCATCCTGGCTTCATTTTCCTATGCTCAGTATCTCAGATCCACAATTGTCCACAATTTTGCTGCTAAAACCCTAAAAGTTGACATGTAGTGCAATACTAAATGTGTGGTTGGTGGACCAATGCCAATTCAGAACCATTTGCTACCAGCCTGTGACAAATAACAAAAGTAAGAAACTATTTAGGAACGTTTACCAATTTGACTATTTTATATCTGTTGAATATAATAATAAAAAGTGTGCTTAGATTTTGCATGTTTTCTTTAATCTCATTTTCCTAAACATTCATTTTTATTGTGTTTTCAAAAGTGTCAGTTTACAACAGATTAAAAGTAAAACACAAAACAGAATATGGTCCTTCACCGTAAAGTTTTAGAAGCACTGATCTAATGGAAGACAACCCTCTCATCACAGTAAGACAAATAGGCCAGGGGAGTCCATAAAGCGTTTAAACTGTAAGGTTCAAGTGAAAAACATGACCATGTCATGCCTAAATTCACTGAGGTTTACTGATGGAAAAATTGAAGTTAAAAACTGAAAGGGAAGTCCCTTTCAGTACCTAGGAGGCAGCAGGCCCTGCAAGGGAGGCCCTGGGAGAACATGATGGTGTTATGGGAGAGAGTGTCTACATATTCTGTAGCAGCATCTTTAATAAAACCATGTGCTGTATTATCAACAATTAACCTGATCAAGACTGGACTGGCATTGGTCCATGGACCATACTTTGGATTTGAGGAATCTTGTTAATTTAATATTCTTACATAATTAATTACTTGAGAGATGTACAGATTATACATTTCCTTTGAATCAGAACTTCATAAAATATATGTCAGTGAAAACTATTAGAAAAAACACTAATTTGTGGATGATGATTCAGAAAGATCCCTGGGAACTTGGATTACCTCATGATCAAACATCAGTTGAACATGAATCCTCATTGAGCCTTATCCATATCAATGCAGAAAGGGGAGGAGATGAAGCTGAATTTGTGCTGATTCTGTGTTGGACCTCCTGCCAAAAATGGCAGGCTCAACTCCTGTATGTTCTTCCCCTAGTAAAGATTTACAGTGCTGGACGAATCTACCGTAGTCCTCTGATGCCAGTCTCAACATAAAATGTATTAATAAAATAGTCTTCAAGAAATCATGTATTTATACACAATCTTGAAGAGAAAGTGAAAAAGATAAAATCTATATAGGTATACCTCTTCCTTAACTTGAAATGCTCCACCAGTGTGCTAAAAGCTCTCGTGATTTCAGGACAAAATGCAGGATACACAAAGTTACCAATGGTTCTTTACATTTCCATTTCTATCACAGGACTCCCCTGGTCCAATGATTGTGATGGCTCTTTACTGCTTGGTTTGCTCTTTTATCACCCTATTAGTCTCAAGTACAAACTCTTCTGTCATGCAAACTATCCTCACTCTTTAAGTTACTCCCCTAACTCCAAATCACTTTCCCCCCACATATTCAACTTTTATAAACCCTTCAAGTTTTACTGCAATTCCATCTATGGAGTTGCCTTTACCAATCACTCTAATACACAGTTGTTTTTCACTCCAAGACAATTCAGAGTTATGTCTGTATCACTATTCTGAACTCAATTACATGCTATTCTTTCTCTCGTATTTTGTTATAAAAAGTTGTTTCTTCAACTATTTCCTTGGGAAAAGCACATAGTCTTAACATGGCAGGCACTCAAAAATTATGCTATACTGGATTTCTTCCTTTAATGGGACAATATATGAGCTTTGGCTACAAGTTTTTGAGATTAATTCACATAGCTACCCAGGAAAATCACTCATTGAGCAGATATTTGTTGAGTACAGACTACATGCTAGACATTCTTTCTAGGCTATGAGGACACAGAAATGAACAGACAAATTCCTATCCTTAAGGAGAGCATATTCTAGTGGCAGTAAGAAAAACATAAAATTTACAGAATGCTGAATACTGTTAAGTAGACAGAAAGTTATGAGAAAGAGGAGTATTTCATTTTAGATAAGGGGGTCAGGGAAGGACTCACTATAAACATGATATCTGACCAGATACCTAAAAAAGGTTGGGAGCCTACTATGCAGACATGCCTACTGCGAAGGAAATGAATTGGTTCGAGAAGAGAGAGTTTTAGGAGATGAGAGTAGAGAAGCAACCAGAGAGGTGGCCATGCCCAGTAGGGCACTGTAGTTAAGGCAGTGGAGAAGAGATCCAAAGATTGAGTTCTAACCAGAAGAGGTCAAGAAGAGAGGTGACCTGCAATGGCAGGAGACTGAGAAGGAATGACCATTAAAAAGAAATCCAGGGATATATGGTGCCTGGCAGCCAAGAGAAGAGAGTGTCTGAAAGAGGAGGGTTAAATAACTGTGTTAAATAATGTGACAAGGACTGAGATTGGTCCCTGGACTTAGTTCCTTATGACTACGACAAGAGCAGTTTGGTGGAGTGGAGGGGATGAAAACTTGAGTGGGGAGAGTGCAAGAGAAAGTGGAAGGAAAGAAATGGAGACTATGTATATAATTATGTCAAAATTTCCTGTGAAAGGAGCAGAGGAATGGAATGGTAACTGCTAGAATAAGTGGGGGTCAAGAGAGAGAGTTTTTAAATGATGGAAGGAAATCCACTTAAGACTCTGGGCAGGAAAACTAGACTCAGCAAAATGAATCTGTGTCAGAGGACTTGACGAACTGAGGACACTGACTGGGTAATTTGAGAACAGGTTACTGTAAATACTCATTTTCGTCATAAGAAATTATTCACAAAATAATTCCATAAACTACTATTTTTACATTAAATCTTTCACTTCCAAAAATGCAAATAAATATATATTGTAAACAGGAATTATTGGATAGATATCTATGATTTCATACCATTGAGTCTTAGCTGATATTTCTCAACTATCTTCAGAAGTTCAGTGCATGTCTCTTGAATGGAGTGAAAAACCTTTGAAATATAAATTTTATTAGGACAGTTTAAAGAAGCATAGACAGATATAAAATATAAAAAAGCACTTCAAAAGCAAAACATTTTCTTATAAGTATTATGTCTATTTTCCTTGACTGTAATGTACTTCAGTTTTGGTTTTATTTTTGATATAGAAAACACATTTAGATTTCCTCCATGAGGGCTGGAAAAAATAGTCATAAATACATGGGAGCTAATAAAATTTTTTAAGTGTGGTGTTTGTCCTCCCCTGGGCTCCAAAAAGTTAAATCTAATATAAACTACATCAAACATTGCCTACCACAGATGAAAAGAGTAAGGACAGAAAATGTTAACTAACTCAAGAGTCTGGCTTTTCTCCAATATTGGTCTAAATAAAACAGGTCAGTGAATTTACCAAAACAAATTAAATAATGTGTTACAACATAAAAAATAAACTACTTTCACATGATTTTGTTTAGAATTTTCCATAAATATTAATTCCTTCATTACCACTGTTGCTAATAGCTAACAGAAAAATAAAATATCCAATAGACTCCTATTTCAAAGTAAGCACATGAAAATTTGAGATCAGGACACATTATATACAGGAGGTAACTCTTCACACATATCTATATATGTAGGTTTTCCCAGGGAAACAAGCTGGCATAGATTTTATGGTGCAGCATATAGAACACTCACAAGGTCCTATGCTGAAGAACTGCAATGAAGTTCAAAAAGACTTTGGAAAAAAAAAACCCCCCAAAAAACAAAACAAAACAAATCAAAACAAACCTCAAAAGACCTTGGCACTGTAGTGTAGTATTAGGTCCTAACCCTTTGTTTATCAAATGAATTTCCAACATCCCCAATTAAGCCTGAATGCTATCTATGACAAAGTTATGCTATTATTTTGACATTTGATCAGATCAAAGGAAGATTGATAACAGACACGAAAATCTAAATGGAGGAGCAACCATCAATTTTCCATATGAGATTAAGTATGTTTGGATTGTATTTGGTATATGGATTTGGCAATTTAAAGAGCTGTTTTATATCCAAATGGAAGGAGACTAGACAAGAATACAAAAATGATAGTTCTATTATGATGAAGTGACAATGGCTGATTTTTTCCCATGGGTCCTTGAAAGATTTATATATTATTGCTATTCATTTTTACAATACATTTTTTTCAGTTTTAGTGAGGTATAACTTGACCAAATTGTAATATATTTAAAGTGTACAACATAATTTAAGTATATATACTTGTTACATGTATACTTGAAATGAAACTATTTTTCATTTGTAAAAACAATAGTACAAATATGGGAGAAAGTTCTTGGTTGATTCCAAATACTTGTCTAATGGATAAGAATAACATTGACTATAAAATATGTCACCCGTAGATTACCTAATGATGTCAAACAATATAAAAATAATCTATTTTTGTGGGAATATATGTGGAAACAACAAAGAGTTCCCTTAGTGTTAAAACATACTACCTACAATGAAGTCCCTTTACTTTTTCCACATTTGTAACTGAATCCTAAGAGGAATACTTTTCAACACAAATAGTAAAAGCTTATTAAACAGAAATAATTTCTATTTCCATATTTATGACGGCAATGATGGAAGTTTATTTTTTGTAGAATGAAATTACTTAGTAGATTGACTTATTTAATTAGACCTGTATTTTTGATAATTCTAACAAACGATTACATTTCAAGCATTACAGAGCCCCTGCCTGGAAATGTTTATAAAAGTTATCTTAAATTAGTATATTTACACAGAATTAGCAAATCTGCATTTAAAAATCTAGACCCTTTTCATTAATACACATGAGATCTTTCTTCTAATTGCTTTAGTTACTTAAAAGTATAAAACATATAGCTTTAAAGTTGTTTCATGGTTTATTATTTCTTTTATTTAAAATGAAAAACAGAGCCAAAAATACATGATGAAATATTTCAATTAATTCCATCCCTTAATAATGGAAACAAAAACTCCAACTTGTAAAATCCTAACCCACTATTTGATTTTAATTAACTTATTCCAGTGAGGTACAAACTTTAAATAAAAGTAGTACAAAGTATTATCACATGATATATAATGAGTAGACGGTCCCAATTAGGAATATAGTTTTTATAAATTGAAATATAGTCAGTTATAATGTGTCAATTTCTGATGTACAGCACAATGTCCCAGTCATGCATATACATACATATATTCATTTTCATTAAAGTTTATTATAAGATATTGAATTTAGTTCCCTGTGCTATACAGAAGAAATTTGTTTTTCTTTTATCTATTTTTGTATATAGTGGCTAACATTTGCAAATTTCAAACTCCCAGATTTATCCCTTCCCACTCCCTTTCCCCAAGTAACTATAAGATTGTTTACTATGTCTGCGAGTGTGTTCCTGTTTTGTAGATGAGTTCATTAGTGTCCTCTTTTTTCTTTTTTTTAAGAAGGAATACAATCAATTCATTAACATTTAGCTTAAAAACTACAATACTTGTGCCAGAGACATTACCTAATTCATGATTTATCTAATTTAAGAACACAAGTTCTGCCAGTTCTCAATTTGTGAGAACTCTCTCTTATCCAGACGGGTCTGGATTGACAGGTGGATACAATTATTCTATTATGAAGTTTGCATTTATCCCGGTAAATTCTTCAATGTGAAAGCTTGTCATAGTCCCCCCAGTAGTCCCAAATAATAACAAGTTATATGAAATGCACAGAATCCTGAAATTTACCTCAAGTTTAGCATCCAGCTCAGCATCAGATGCCACCACGTGCTCATCCTCCTTTTTCCCTGTTGCTTTGATAAAGACCTGTTTAGTTTTCCAGTATTTCTTTTGCATTCTGCTGACTACTGACTGGTTATCTTCTGGTCTGGGCTGCCCAAAGGAATCCATGGAATGACTACAGGGAATAGACTAAAATTAAATTTCTTAAAAAATCTTTTCAATAATAAGTATCTATTTAGCCAATATTTAATCTAATTAAAAAGATACTAAATAGAATATTTATGTTAACAGCTAAACATGCTAATATTTTCTTTGTATGGTCTAAATTTATGTTTTAATTATAACATATACAAGTAAAAGGCAAAAATGTTAATGATACGTATATTAATCTTATTTATAACAAAGGTGTTAGAAAACTGCTATGATTTTGCAGTAATGGCTAGAAATATTTCTATTTGACCAATCTCTATTTGTGGACATTTATTAGTTTCCAATTTTTGCTTTTGTAATAATATTGAAAAATGAACTTGGACACACATCTTTGCAAACTACTAACATTTCCTTGGGAAAACTTCCTATGGATTAATTGCTATGTCAGAAGAATACACATTTAATAAAAATCCTCAGATATGCAAAGATTCAAATATATACTCTTCTTTAAAAACTACTCAAAGAAATACTTTAATATCCAATTAATAAACAAAAATAAAGATCTTAAGTGTAGGAGAGATACGTTATAAAAGAAACAGAGATGGAAATTGTAACCTTTTGTAAACTTAAAAATTAATGTCTAAGTAATTGTTCTTAACACAGTTAACATGGCTATATATGGGAAATGCAAATATGAAAAATGTTACTTAAGGAGATGTGAAAAAAAGAAGTAATGATAATAGTTTTAAAAGCCCAAATTATTCCAATAAACAGGACGTAGGAACAAAAGGAGATACTAAAGTATGTGACTCATTCATCACTTCCAGGGGAATCAACAGATAACTAATGTATTCATAATGTTGGTAAAGAAGTAGAGGTTCACTTTCTTTTTATTTTGAAGTAATTACTAATCAAATAAAAATAGGATGTCTAATTTCTAAATTCTAAGGAGCAGAAAAAGAGAGCAAGAAAAACTAGCAAAAGAAAAAGAAGGTTAAAAAACAGGAGTAAGGCAACATAACAAACAGTATAAACTAAGATGACAGAATAAGAACAATTATACTATTTAGTATTATAATGAAAACTTCCTCTTAAATTCAAAGAATCTCAAATCATAAAAAACAAAAAACCATATCCTACTATATGCTATTTGGGATCCACCTAAAACAAAATGACAGAGAAAGAATTACAGGTTAAGAGATACCAGGTAAATATAGTACAAACTAAAGCAAGGATAGCCATACTGATACCAGACAAATTAGGTTTAAATATAAAACATTATACAGAACAAAGGTAAAATGTAAAGCCCACAGGTGGCCACTCCTCCAGATATTCTCTGGACATTCTCCTGTGGATACCCTCCTGGATTCCTGGGCAGTACAGATTAGCCATCATTAACCGCAGAACCTCTAGGTGCTGTGCTGGTAATGTGGTTGGATGTAAGTTGGAATAGAAAATAGAGAATTTAATCTTGGTACAGAGAGGGGCTGGGTCTGATGTAAGCATTGTACTGTCTGAGATACAGTTCTGAGGGAAAACTTCGCAGCTTCTTTTTCCCCTCCAATTTCTGTCTGCTTTTGGTTGCTTCTGATGGTTTTCCATTAGTTTTCCCCTCAGACTGTTATCAGCATGAGGGTCAGTCCAACTGTATGACAAACAGCTGATCTCTTCTACCAAGCTGACCTAGGCTTAGGTCCAATCAGTTAAGAGAACACAGTTCTTGCGTGAAGCAAGAAAATGTCATTCCAAACATAAGCTGAAGAAGAGAAAGGTAGATTGATGACAGATTGCAGAGATACCTACAAGTGTATTTAATAGGTAATGTGGGGCCAATGAAGGTTTCTAAGCAGCAGAAAGACTAAACACAGCTCAGAACTATCTTTCCATATTTCAGACAAAATCTAATTAAAGTGTGAACCAAGGACATTAGCATAAGAATAGATATGAGAGGAAGAATCTATAAAACTTGTTAATAATGATTTAATGGTTTTGCCCCTGAAAAATAAGGGCAATTAGGAAAATAAGCTATCTAAGTGAGAACATTATGCATTTGATAAATGACATTCTGAGTTTAAAATAAGGGACATCTGAGTTTACAGAAATATCTAACAATCAATTAAAACAGTAGTAACAAAAGTTGTTTCAAGTTTGGGTCTCTAGTCAGATTGTCTAGGTTTGAAGCCAATAACCCTACTATTTACCAGCTGTGGGACATTGTGCAAGTTCCATTAATTTCTCTTCAGTTTTCTCATCAGTAAAATAGGAATGATGAAGTAAATAGATTGTTATAAGAATCAAATGAGAAAAATATATGCAAAGCACTTAGAAATTGTTGGCAGTTAAGAATCATATTATTTTATACATTTGCATTTTAATTTTTAGATTGGAAATGTTGATTTGGGAGTTAAAGATTGTTAAGCAGTGAGAACAGACCTTTAAGAAAGAAAGCAGAAAGGTGGTAATATTTGGAGATTTGAGGAAGATGAAGCAAGTTTAGGCAAGGTTCTTGATATTGTGCTGTGGATTCACCATAATAAGAACAGTTTAATGATAAATATGTTCTACATATAACAGATACTTAAATCCCCAAGTTGAAAGAAATTAAAAAGAAACTTAGACATTATCGAGTTCAATATATTTCTATTTTAGTGTAAAAGGATGGAGACTTCCATAAAATGAGAAACCAATAAAATAATTTTTTAAATCTTAATCATCACTGAGAGAATATATAACAATTACATGGAGAAAACGAATTCTATATGGAGTTAGAGTGAAAGCTTATACTAATTCTATCACCAAACAAGAGTACTATAGAGGATTAAAGTATCATTTACCCTCATTTGTCATAAAATCATTCACCAAGGCACTAGCAATACAGATTGTGTGCTTATTTAACAGTTTTTATAAGTAAAATAGCTTTATTTCTTTGACTAATATGAAATCACCAACATTAGACCAACATTAAGCCATTTCTGTGCTACAAAATCAAGAATTTAATATGGTTCAACCTAAAAAAAAGGAATTCAAACTTACCTCAGAAGAAAGTGCTTTGAGAACAAATGATCTACCTCAACTATGTCACATCTCAAGTCTTTTTCAGGGATCTAGACTGATGGGTTAACACTACGGCCTGCCAGCAAATTAGTCCTTAGCTGCCTTCTTGCTACAACAGCAGAGTTGAGTAGATCCAGCAGACTGTATGGCCCACAAAGGCAAAATTATTGACTATCATGTTTTTTCATAGAAAAAGTTTACAGACACCTGATCTAGACAATAGTTTTCAGAGTATAGTCCGAAGAGTCATAAGCCTCTTTAAGCTTTACTTTGTACTGAGATAATGATTATTCCTTATTCATATGTATGTATACATTCATACATATGTACACACACACACACATATATATAATATATATCATATACATAATTTTAAGGCACTCCTGACTAATCTTTCATCAGTTGTCCACTAATTCTGGAATAGTTTTTGAGTGTGGCAAATCAATGAGTAGATTATGATACAGGGTTTTTTGTATGCCACCTTTAACAGATGGAGAGAAACTGAAGCCTACTGAAATCATTAGGGGCTACTGATATGAAAGACAAACTATTAAGTCACAGATGGAGACTCTGCCCCTCAAACTTCCCTAAAGGATATATTTTATAAAGTACCAGCTTTAACATCAGACTAGAATTGCATCCAGGTTATGAATAGAATCCTTTCAGATAGGTGACCTTAACTGTTGTTTAGCCAACATGAGTTTGGTTACTCAGATACTAGAACCATTACAGGACTAGAGCAGTTGAAATTTACAAATGCTCTGAGACAACAGAACTGGTGTGGAACTAAATTAGCTGACATTTCCAATAATCCCAATAAGGAAATAAGTTTCATATACATATTAAATGCCAGCTTTGTTCTGGGTACTACATTTGACACTGCAATCTTAACGCCAGAAAGACACTGAATGAGAAAGTTAAATATAGATGTGTGCTTATCTAAAATAGAAAGAATATGGCAATTGCTTATAGCCAATCACACACCCTAAAATTCATACTAAGAAGGTAAACTGCTCACAGAGAGGTTACAATCTTGACCTAATATACTTATAAAAGGACTAAAGTGTAATCTTTTTTCAAAAAGAATTCAAAATTATATAAAAGGTACAGTCTTAGAGGGGGCTTAAGATATTTACAAGTTCCTGATAATCTTGGCACTACTACTTACTAAAATAATAATCACTATACTTGTAGAGGCTTTGATAGTTTTAAAAACATTTTCATAAATTTTATCTCCTTTGATCTTGATAACCCTGAAAGCTAGAAACAGCAGATTTTATTATTCTAGTTTTATAAAGGAGATCACTGAGGCACTGTTAAATTAAGGGAAATTTCTCAAGGATACACATACATTAAGACCATCCTGATACACAGCACACATCCTAGTCTTTTGACTTCAAAAGCAATGCTCTTTTGCATTTTGAAGGTGGGGAAAAGCGTGATTAAGGTTATCTCCTATCTTATAGTGAGTTATCTAAAACATACAATATTAGTTTCCTAATTTTCAGGCAACTGGCTTCTAAGAACCTATAGGTTTTCAAAAATTAGTTAGGTACATAAAAAGGATGTTGCTTGTAAGAATGAAAACAGAAATAGGTCATTAACAAAACTGAAAACTCTAATATTGCAAACTACATTTGAATTTCTAGGTACAATAAAATTTATTTTTTATAACTAGTCTATATTTTCAGTAGTCAGCATAACCTTAGTCTATAAAGAAGAAACTACACAGAAAAACAAATTAGATCTTTTCCCCTCAAAATGATATGATTCAGGATTGTTATCTACTTTTCCGACTGATAGACTAAGAATTTACTAGAGACAAAGTTTACTTATACCACGTTAGTCATTTCAAAAAGAACATATGAGTAGCATTTAAAGTAGATAATTACATAATTAAAATTAAACTTTTGCACAGAAAAAAACCATCTACAACAAAAAAATACAACCTATGGAATGGGAGAAAATATTTGCAAATAATGTGACTGATAAGGGGTTAATATCCAAAATATACAAACAACTCATACAACTCAATATCAAAAAACTAAAAATTCCAATTAAAAAATG